TTTGTTGGGAAAAAATCTAATTGAAAAAAAAAAAAAAAAAAAAAAAACTCTCCCACTTTTTTTTGGCACATCATCAATTTGTAAAAGATTATGTAAATGATGATGTATAGCGAACATTTTCATTATTTCTATTTTCAAACCTTGAAACATTGGTGGCTTATAATTTGAAATTTGACGTTAATGATACTATTGACACGCTAAAAGTGCAGCCCAAATTGAATAGTCCAAAGAATGAAGTCCAACTAAACAATTCAGGATAAATGCCCAAATAGGGTTATTAATGAATGCAGTGGAAGCCCACGAACGCGGTAACACCATCGCCCAAACTTGCAAGACGGCCAAGATTTGAGCGAATGAAGTGCCTTGCAGTCGCCCAGAGTTATGACCATGTTCTCGTCCAAACCTTCGAATCGCCCAGGATCTTAGCAAACATAAGATGTTATAGTTATCCAAAAGTGCAGTTATCGAAACAGTTATTGAGTAATCTTATCACGTTCCACGATTCAAGGAGTTCAGTTGAAGACGGTTGAACAACAAAGAGTAGTGGCAGCAGTTAGAGACGGCTGTTCCACGATAAGTTGGCCACCATGAAAAAAGTGGGCAGTTATAAAGCAATTAAACAGTTTCTAAGCGATTGATCACGAATAGATCATTAAGGGAATATAAAAGGAAGAAAAGACATAGAACAATGGAATCGGAATCAAACACTCTCAAACAGAGAATATGTAATTTCAACTTCTTAGTTTAGACTTAAACATTTCCTTTTAGTACTCGTGTGCTTGCGCCCCTTGGAGGCATTCTGTTTAGTTCCAATTGTAAAGTCATTGCCAATAAAACACTCCTTTTTGGGACTGTCTCAAGAGGTTTGTTCCTTACACAATCGTCCGATCCCTTTTTAATTGTTAGCGACTACCCGCGCGAAACAATTTGACACGCCAGTGAAATCTTAGTGTTTGGTGTTGAAGATACAAAAGGTGAAACAATATGCCTCAAAAATTTGATAAGGAAGCAAATCAGGGAGGAGTCCAGTCTGTGATCGAGCGATATGAGGAGCAACATAGCTCTCCACGAACAGATGGACAGAATCAGAGCAGTCATAGTCGTTACGAACCAATGACAGAGTTGAGTCCTCGAACTATGCGTGCATTACTTGGAGAACTAACACAGGATGTTGTTTAACAGGTAAATCTACGAAATATTCATAATATGAAAAGACTTACTCAGAATGGGAATGCACACTATGATAACATGGCCAAACAATTGAATACTTTGAATGAAATAATAAATAAATTAATAGGCCAAATTTGTCAGCCAGTTGTGCTTCTTGCAAATCATTTTCAAATTAGGACTATTGTGGGACATAATGCCCCAGTCCTAAGTCCAAATCGAGGGGTAGAATCACCTTTTGATTCCTCTACTTCAAATCAGGAGGATGGTGTAATGCCAAATCAGAATGGTGGCAATGGTGCATCTAACTTAGGGGGTAACTCAAACGTAAGAGACAATGTCTTCAATAATGGACAGAATGCCCCACGTATTAACGATGGAGTAAATATTCAGGCTAATGGTAACAATGGCCCAAATCATGGCAACTTTGTTGCCAACCAAGGACCAAATATCAGGCCTTAAGCAAATCAACTGGTCAACCAATCTGTAGAAATTCCATATGACCCCAACGTCATGTTGAGGAATCAAATTATGGAAATAGTACAGGATCAGATGGCTTTCGGGGTACATCATGTCATTAGGCCGACTTACACAAAGTCATACCCTGATTGGGTAGACCTAGTATATCCATAGCCTAGAGGATATAAAGTGCCAGAATTCTCATTATTTATCGGTTTAGGAGAGGTGTCTACTCTAGAACACATAGGGCGATTCACACTGTAAAGTGGTGATGTGACTGATTACTATAAAATGAGGTTGTTCCTTAGTTCATTAACAGGAGTAGCTTTCTTCTGGTTCATCAATTTGCCAGCAAACTCTATTCAAACATGGCAACAATTGTTCCACGCTCAGTTTTATAAGACCGAGTCCGAAATTACTTTGACCGATTTGGCGAATCTATGTCAAATGCCAAACGAATGGGCAGAAGGTTTCCTTCAAAGGTTCAAGACAGCAAAAAGTAAATGTTTTGTACCTTTGCCCGAAAAGGAGTTTGTCAAAATCGTTCAAGGTTGTCTAAACTTTGATTTGAAAAAGAAGTTCTAAGATAAGGAATTTCCCGATCTTTTCCAATTGAGCGCTAACGTGATTAGGTATGAATGATTAATAAGTGAAGAAGAGCAAAAGAAAAATTCTAGTAAAGGGACTTATTATAGAGACCCAAATTTTGATATTCATACCATTAATGATGAGTATTACGATCAAACCGAAATGTGTTTGGCCGAACTAATCAAAGGAGACACATATATTTGTCCTATAATGGCTAAGCCTAGACCGTCGGGCAAGGATGAGCCTATAAAAGATGAAAACTAAAAGGCTAGAACGTTCTCGTTCGATGTAACTAAAGCTGAGTGATAAACATAAATTGTCATGCCCTAAGCAAGTTAAGGGTAAAAAATATTGTAAGTGGCATAATGTATCGTCACATTTGACTAATAACTGTTTGGTTTTTCACCATGTGTTACAGGATACCATTGAATCAGGACGAATTAAATTCGAGGATAAGAGGAAGATGGCAATGGATGAAAACCATTTTCCACAGCCACTTGGGGTGAACATGGTGACGACTAGTTTCAAAAACAAGTTGCCAAAATTCAAGTTAGTTATAGATGACGGGGAAGAGGACCCTGGACCACATCCCAGTGTCTTTGAACCTATCAAAGGAAAAAAGCCTAAAAAGGATGAAGACGTCCTGTGTGCAAGATATAAAAGAAAAGTGAGTGGGAATACAGAGAAACCAGGGATATGGCAGCATCACCATCGCCCTAGTTTTTTTCCAAACGCTCAGCCTGGTAGAGGGTGGGGTACATCGTTCTATAAGGGACCGCTTTTTGAAAGGCAGTTCAGGCTAGTAAATAATGGGAGAACATTCAGACCGCAACCTCGTCAACCAAATGTATGGCATTCGTTCCAGTATAAGGCTGGAAGGGCGATACCTTTCAACGAGATGACTAGAACCCAATAAAGGCATTTTAAACGGAACTATGGGCGAATGATGAGGCAACAATAGGGAGTTCTACGTCCTAAGGCACCTAGACTACTCGAGGCAGGCAATCAAAATATTCTCAAAGACAGTGAAGAGACTGGTATAGGCGAACCTATGGAAGAATTACCAGAGACTTTTTCTGGGAGGTCGAAGTTTGAGTGAGACAGAAGGGATGGAGAAGATCCAGATCAGTCCCTTACTATTCAGTTTGGTACATTACCTCCTGTCGTGGTTAATAACTATTTACTAGCCAATGAGTTCAAGAATAAAGAGAAGGGAGAAGAAGAAAAGGAGGATAACGAAGAGAAAGCGTGCATGCTGGAATATGAAGAAGGCCAAACTTCTAGAGAGGCCTACAATGGTGAAGAAGATGATAGTATGACAGATATCGAAGAGGAAATCGATCTGGAAGCAAAAAGGAGAAGAAGAGGAGTATCGTACAATACTCTGTTGAAGCAGCTACATCGAGAGGGAGTTCGTGAAGTAAACTTATTGGGAGAACCATCTGGGCGTTCTTTCGATTATTACGTGCTGTACGGGACTCCTAAAAGGAAGAAGAGAGTGCCTTGCTCTGAAAAGTATGGATCACCTCCAAGAATAATACCTCATCCCACAGGTTGGGTAACTGAAGAAGAAGCATTAGAAAACAGTAAAAAGGAAATTCATGAGACAGAAGCTCGGTGTGATATGCTGCATGTTGACTTATCACAAAAGGGCAACTCGACAGAGGACAAGCAGGAAGTGGAAATAGATGCTGCCGAAAAGGTTATTTTTAAGCGACCAGTCATGAAATTGACCAAACACTGGAGGTCATTGTACGTTAAAACTCTAGTTAACGGCATACTTGTGGCAAAAGTGCTTATTGATAATAAAGCAGCTATAAACACCATTCCATCTATGATGATGAGGAAATTCGCAAAGACAGAAGGTGATATG